CCCTGCGGAGCCTGACTTGGGACTGGATCTCATGACCCTGAAATCACAGCCTAAGCTGAAATCAAGAGTCAGCTACTTAACCAACGGAGACCCCACGTGCCCCTAAATTTGTGTTGTTTTAAGTCACTAAGTTTGTGGTAATTTGTACAGCAGCAATAAGAAACAAATACACTCCCTCAAAAAAATGATCTGTCCTCTTTTTTTTTTTGCCAGCAATATAGATTTGGATGATATAAAGTTTGAAAGATAAATTAGGTGATGTGTTACAGAAATACCTGAATTTTTATTTATTTTTAAATGTTTTTTATTTTTTAAAGATTTTATTTCTTTATTTGAGAGAGAGAGAACATGAGCAGTGGGGAGGCAAAGAAGGAAGCAGACTCCCGATGAGCAGGGAAACCCCCCCCCCACGATGTGGGGCTCTATCCCAAGACCCTCAGGATTGTGACTTGAGCTGAAGGCAGACACTTAACTGACTGAACCCCCCAGGTGCCCCTAGAATACATCTTTTGAATGCTTTCTTAAGTGGTGACATTACAGATAATGAAAAGCTTCCAGCATCAGATGTGCCCATCTGCTGGGCACATGGAATGCTTTTCCATTCTCTTCTAAGTGCCTAAGGAAGGTAAACTTTATTTGAGAATGACAAATATATTATTTAATTATGTCATTTGCACTCATAACATAAGAGGTGAAGAATCATTTCATGGCCTTTATCGCCCCCTAAAAAAGTGATATGTTTTTATATCAAAAATAATTTGATTTTTTTTGTTGTTGTTGACTTCCTTCTTAATTTGAAGGAAGACAGTTGAGTGCCTCTTGGGTCATGGCAGAGATAAGACTGTTCTACCTTCTAGGTAAGTCTCCGCATTTTCTCTCCGTGCTCAGCTACCTGAGAGTACCAGTGTTGGGTTTTACGTCATCTTCCCAGGCTATGCCTGTGTCCCTATGTCCTATAACTTTCCACTCAGCAGCTGGTAAACCAGGCTGTGTAGTGAGGATGAAGGAGGAAGCCAAGGAGAAACTAGGACGTGGACCACACCTTGGCCACTCCACCCAATGTCATGGGGCAAGCCATTCTTGTGCAGAGGAGGTGGCTCATGTGGTTATCATCTCCTACATGCTGGGAAAGAACTATTGCTTCTAAAAACTTCTTCCCTTCTTTCAATTTCACAATTAGAGTTTCCTTTTTCTTGTTTATATAGGTGGCTACTACTCTGTTAAAATGCAGATATTCCAAGAAAAAGTAACACTAAGGCTTATCAGGCATTTATTTCAGAGTGTGGGTAAGTTACCAGCTTCCTTCCTGAGAGCAGATTTTGAGGGAGAGAGAGAATATGAAGACCTCTACAGCTAAGGAACAGGAAGCATATGTGGGAGGAAGATAAAAAGAGCGGGCTGTTCATAGAGAATCAACATTCCATAGATTATCCTAAAATGGACCTTTTGTTCAAATATAATGATCTGTTCATTCTTTATCCTTCATCATCTGTAAATCTGAACACTGCCTTCACCACTCCCATGACCACTCTCTCCCTCATCTTCACATTCCCTAACTAACCACCTTCCCTACCCCCACCCCCTGGTAAAGATATAACCCAGTAACTGCCAACACAGATGTCCATACTCGCACTACAGTTTGGGGAATGAAGGTGCCCGCTTTGCTCTACAGAAACCAGGTTGAAGAAATCTTTCAAAGGCTTTCATTAACATTAAGGTATATTAAATATGCTTAAAATTGTATGTAAATACATGAAAACGTATGTAAAGATGTTTTAAAATATTAAAAATAAGTAACACCATTTCACACTCACTAGGATGGCTATAATCAAAAAGACAAATAATCACCAGTGTTGGTGAAAATGTGGAGAAATTTGAACTCTAATACCCTAATTGTGGGGTTGTAAAATGGCGCAGCTGTTTTGGAAAAACAGTCTTGCGATTCCTTAGATGATTGAATATAGAGTTACTGTATGGCCCAGCAGTTCCACTCTGAGGTATGTACCAAAAAGAAATGAAAATATAGGTTCACACAAAAATTCATACACAAATTTTCATAGCAGCAAAAAATTCACAATTGCAAAAAAGTGAAAAGATCCCAAATGTCCATCAAGTGATGAGTGGATAAACAAAACGTGGTCTACCCATACAATGGAACACATCCAGGACTCGCTACAACATGGATGAATCTTGAGAATATTATGCTGAGTCAAAGAAGCCAGACACAAAGGACCACGTGTTGAATGAGTCATTTATATGAAACATCCCAAATAGGCAAGTCCATAGAAGCAGACAGCAGAGTAGTAATTGCCTAAGATTGGGAGAGGAGGGTGACTGTGACTGGGTTTCTTTTCAGGGATGGTGAAATGTTCTAAAATTTGTGCTGATGGCTTCCCCACTTTGTGAATATATTAAAAATGATTTAATTATACACTTTCAATGAGTGAATTGTATGGTATGTGAATTATATCTCAATAAAACTGTAACATGACCACAGAGGCTAGAATCTCTGCATGCACCATATTGAGGAATTCACAAACTATTTTAATTCCCTCTGGGACTTAGCCAACCTAGAGATGCTGGGCCCTCCCTTTCTCCCCCCATAGTACTCCAAGATTCTAGAGAATCCCATCAACCCAGGTGGCTCTAACCCAGGGGCCTATGACCACCTCTACCCTTACCGGCAAATATCGTGGACTGCTGGTATTACAGCTGTTGCTGAAGATCATCTTGTAAAGTTTTTATCAAAAAGAAAAATTTGTTTTTAGAGTGGATACATGTTATAAATGACATATATACACATATATATTTTTTAATGTGATAAGAGATTGATCCACGTCATTGTAAGACTGAGTCTGTTGGTCACATAGCAGCTATTTGTTGAGAATTTACTAAGCGCCAGACACTGTGCTTGTAGTGGGGACACAGATGACAAGAAGGCAACATGAGCATTTGTGATATGATTCAGATCATAAATAATTACCTTCCAGCAGTGACAGTAATCTCTCTTCCCCACAATAAGCCCAATATCACAGTCAGCCTCTACTTTGGAAGAAACTTTGTGAAGAAAATGAACTCAGTTCTAGAGGAGAAATCTCTGTGACAAGAGAGGAAAATAAAACCCAGCAAGAGAAGGCAACCTGCTCAAGGTCACGCAGGTGATGCCATCGAGCCAGCAGCTCTCTCAAATCAGCTGTGAGGTTCTTGAAACCTTGGGAGTATACCCCTCCCTGACCCGCAGAAGATGCTCAGAGAACATTCTATGTTGTCTAGGCCTTTCTCTCAAATTACTACACGAGTCCACCTCCAGACCCTGCACTAAGATGTCGCTTCCACAGTAGGTTGTACGTAGTGGTGATATATAAACAATGGCTGACCGAAGGATTCAACCAACAGGTGGAAGAAATAGCAGGTACCTCACCACTACTAAAAAGTCACCTGCACACGCGCACACACACACCTACCCACACGCACACACCCGAGTTCCTGATTTGGTAGATCAGGGATGGGGCCTAAGAATTTGCATTTGTCAGAAGTTCCAGGTGATGCTGACGCTGCTGGTCTGGGGACCCCACTTGGAGAAGCACTAACTAGCCTAGAACAAGAGTGGCTTTACAGTGGCTCAGGATTCCAGGTGTCATGAGCTCAACAGAAATACCACTCCGCAGAGAAAGCTGTGGTGGAGATAAACCATCGCAGGCTTCATCTTTCCACCTGTGGCTTATCTGCTGGCAGCATAAGGACTATGGATGCAGCCCCTTAACCTACAGCCCCCAGGCCTCCAGTTAACATCAGCTGCAGCCCCCTGTGTATCCATTTGGCCATCACCGAAGATGTTTGTCATTCTCCAGCCAGAGGCGGGGAAGAAAGCCCAAGAAGGGTGGGGTCCAGCTGCCTCTGGGGAAGAGCTGCCTTTGGCTAGAGGGTTTCTCCCTGCACCCCAGTCTTGTAGCCAGCAGGGGGGTGGCAGGTAGGGGTCAGGCATTGCTAAGATTCAAAAGACCATTGAGACAGAGGAGTGGGGGAATGAGATGGGGCGTATGCGCAACCGAATATCAAACTGCCCCCAAAAGGAAGGAAATTCTGACATGGGCTCCTGTGGGGATGGATCTTGCAGCTGTTACAACAGGGAAAGAGGCCAGACACGGGGGACAACCACTGCGTGAGTGCAGCTATATGGGTACTTAGATACTTAGGAGCCTTCAAATTCGTGGAGACAGAAAGGGTGGTTGCCAGGGGCCCGGGGAGGGAATGGGCACAGAGATTCTGTTTGGAAGGATGACGGAGTCCTGGGATGAGTGGTGGCGGCGGCTCCACGGGCTTAATGCCCTTCAGTGTCCTTAATGGTCGGAATGTACATTTCATGTTGCTTTACCATATTTAATTCTATTTAAAAAATAGAAACTGTCCTCATCTTAACGTTCCTCTCACTCAGTATTTGCAAAGCACAACCGCGCTTCCCTCTTCCAAGTCAGCCGAGGAAACAGAAAAATGATCTGGAGATTTATTCTAGAGTCTTCCAGAAGTGCTTTGGCTGGTTCACCCTCCAGGTAAAGCCCCACAAACACGCATGTGCACCCAGAACTCCCGACCAGGGTTCACCCAGTTGGGCTTTCTCGCTCGGAAGGGGCGGTTTTCCCAGCCCCGTGGTTTCCAGAGCGGGGTCCCGGGCTCAGCAGCGGCAGCAGCGGGTCCTGGGGGCCCACCCGGCCCTGCTGAGCCCGCACACCCGGGAGGCCCGGCAGCCCGCGCTTCGACAGGCCTCTGCGGCCAGGTGCGCTCCCCGTCGGGGCGTCCGTGCCCAGGCCCCGGCCGACGCTCCCGACCCGGCGCCGGCTCCCAAGGGCCCGGGGCGGGGCGGGGGGGGCCGGAGCTGGCCCCGCGCTGGGGCTCAAGGGGCGCTCGCCTCCGCTCGCTGGCGTTCGGCCGCCGGGAGGGTGGAGCCCCGCCGCCCCGCCTGCACACCTCCAGCTGCACAGGTGGCTGGGCAGGGCCTGGAAACCAAGTCATAAGGGCGACACCTTACAAAAAAAAGTCCTCTCTCCCGGACTGCCCGCTCGCCAGGCGCAGGGAGCCCTCGGAGCCGCCACCATGGGTAGGTCGCGTGGCCGGGGGCGCGCGGGGCGAGGGCGAGGGCAGCCGGGGGCGCGCGGGGGCGGGGGGCGAGGGCAGCCGGGGGCGGGGGGCGAGGGCGAGGGCAGCCGGGGGCGCGGGGCGAGGGCGAGGGCAGCCGGGGGCGGGGCGCGGGGCGCGAGGGCGAGGGCAGCCGGGGCGCGGGGGCGCGAGGGCAGCCGGGGGCGGGGGGCGCGGCCAGCGGACCTGCGCGCGGAGCCAGGCGGGAGGCGACCAGGGTCCGAGAACCGCGTCCCCGGCCCCGGGGCAAGACGCCGTCCCTGCGCGGAGGCGGGGAGCCTCGGGGCGCCCAGGCTCGGAGGTGGCGGGAACCAGCGCCTCCGGCTGGGGATCCTGGGTCCGCGTGTTCGCGGCCCGGGAGCTGGGAATGGGCTTGAACCGGAGGGCGGTCGTGCCGGCGATGGCAGGGCCGCGAACCTCCATCCAGCCGGACCGGGTGGCGCGCGGCGGCGCGGCGGGGGATGGGGGGGTGGGGTGGGGGGGACGCGGGGCCCAGGGCCCAGCCCGGGTGAGCCCGCAGCCCCGGCCCCGCTGGTCACCCTGCCAGCTGCTCGGACCTCACGAGGAAGCGCCCGCCGTGGGTAGCTGGGCCTCCCCAGGCGTGGGGTGTCTCTAGGAGAGAACTGCATCCTGCCGGCTGCGGGGTAGGCCCCTGCGGGATGAGAGCAGAGCCCACCCCAGCCCTCTTCTCCCTTAAAGATGGGGAAGCCGGGGCTCCCTGGGGGCTCAGCGGTTTGGCGCCTGCCTTTGGCCCAGGGCGCGGTCCTGGAGTCCCGGGATCGAATCCCACGTCGGGCTCCCTGCAAGGAGCCTGCTTCTCCCTCTGCCTGTGTCTCTGCCTCTCTCTGTCTCTCTGTCTCTGTGTCTATCATAAATAAATAAATCTTAAAAAAAAAAAAAAAGGATGGGAAGGCAGGTGACTCCAAGCAAAGCAAAGTCATGGCATGGATGAGCCCAGCAGGCGACTCCGAGCAAAGCAAAGTCATGGCATGGATGAGCCCAGGCAGGCACAACGTGGCCCCATAGTTGAGAGAAGCAGCCTGACTTTGGCCTGCCTTCAGTTCTCTTCCTGTCTACCTCTTGCTACCGCTATGGATTTGCCTCAGTAAATTAAACTTTGGGCTTTGTCTTCCTCAGCCCTTAGAAGTATTGATAACAGGGATCCCTGGGTGGTGCAGCGGTTTGGCGCCTGCCTTTGGCCCAGGGCGCGATCCTGGAGACCTGGGATCAAATCCCACGTCAGGCTCCCGTTGCATGGAGCCTGCTTCTCCCTCTGCCTGTGTCTCTGTCTCTCTCTCTCTCTCTCTCTCTCTCTCTCTCTCTGTGTGTGTGTGTGTGACTATCATAAATAAATAAAAAAATTAAAAAAAAAAGAAGTATTGATAACAGCCTCAGTGGTTGTATCGGGGTGTGTACGAGTGTGAGACCTGGTGTGCAGCCCTGCAACAAGCTCTCCCAATGTCTCACTGGACCACCCTGTGTTGTGATTCCAAAGCAACAGTATTGAGGGGTTCACACTTGGGACCTCTTACCATGGCCACCTGTGCCTTTTCCTGAAAGATGCTACTGTCTCCCACAGAGGTGCAGGCTGTCAGCACGTGTGCTTCACAGCCAAACTCCTGGGCTGGAGTTCTGGATCCTACCTCACACATCATTTGCTTGTCACTCCGTGTGACTTCCCTGGGAGGTGCTCTGAGTACTTATTTGATTTTTAGATACCAAATGCCTGAGTAACGTCTGTGCCAAGTTTGGACTTTCCTAAAGTATTTCCAATCAGGCCAGCTGTCAGCTGCCTGATTATTGGTGAATGAACACAGTTAGCTTCTGAAATATAATCCTAAATTAATAGATTCTTTGAAGTTTGCAAATCAGTCCTTCAGTGGTGGCTGTTTTTTTGTTTGTTTGTTTGTTTGTTCTGGTAACTGAGATTGGCTTAGCATGTGAGTAGCAATATAGCTGCACACCAGTTTTATGTTTATTCCAGTCCTATGTTTTAATATCTAAGTTTAGGTAGTAAGTAGAACAAATGATTTTTAAGAGGTTTTTAAATAAAAGGTAGCAGTGTCTTCTCTTGAGAACAGATCTCTGGCACTCAGATGGTTTCAGAATTGCTTCAGATCCCTCATGACTGAAAAAGGGAGACCCAGGATCCTTGGTGAGCACGTCAGGGTGTAAGGAAGCCAGGCAGCAGGTCTTAGAGACAGATTTGCTTCGAGCTGATTTTGTCCAATGTGAATCTGAAACTAATTTTCACACCAGGTTCTTTTCCTGGCCCTGAGAATGGGGAGCAGGAGTTGGGATGGAATCGGAAAGTGATGGATGCGATGAGAATCAGAATTACCATTTATTGGACTCAGTAACACAGCAACACGAATCCACAAGAATAAAGTGGATGAAACGTTGCTGTGGGCATGACGATGCATAGCTAAGCCTGGCAGCTGTATTCAGTTAGAATCATGAACAGAAAACCCTTTGCTTTAAAGATGGGTTGGTAAGCTTCTCCTGGATAGGGCCAGATAGTAAATATTTTCAGCTTTCTGAGGTAGCATAGCCTCTGTGGCCACACTCAACTCTGCCTTGGTGGTGCAAAATATATAAACGAGCAGAGCTGTGTTCCAATAAAACTTTATTTATGGGCACAGAAATCTGAATTTCATGGAATTTTCGTGTGTCACAAAATAGTTTTTAAAAATTTTTTTCAGCCACTTAAAAACATGGAGCCATTCTTTTTTTTTTAAAGAGTTTAGTTATTTATTCATGAGAGACACAGAGAGAAGAAGCAGAGGGAGAAGCAGAGGGAGAGGCAGGCTCTGTGCAAGGAGCCTGATGCAGGAGTTGATCCCCGGACTCCAGGATCACGCCCTGGGCTGAAGGCAGGCACTAAACCCCTGAGCCACCCAGGGATCCCCCATGGAAGCCATCCTTAACAGGTGAGCCACAGAAAAACAGGTGGTGGGCCGGATTTGGCCCATGAACTATCCTTTGCCTACTCTTAAAGTCTGGTGGCGCTTATCAGAGTCAAGGATAGAGAGAAGGCAGCCTTCCCAAGAGCTGTCTTATGGGGCCAGGTTTCCTAAGGGCAGAGAACCTCTCAGGGGAGAACTTTGTGGGGCTAGGGATGCTTTGGCTGAAGACTTCAAATATTCACTCTTTCTCCCTTCACCCCATTTCCCTCCATCACCCAGAGCTGAGCAAGAGTCTGCACTAATGTTGCTGTTCTTACAAATTATTTTCCATACCATGGTCCTGGAAAACCCTAGATGCTGCCCTGTCATTTGCCACACACTTAACTTTGAAAATGAAGTATGAAGAGACTTCAGGCTCTATGAAGCAAGCTCCTGCCTCCCTTTGCCAGAGCCTCCAGGTTGTTTTGAAAGATAGTTGATTATATTCTTTGATGAAGGATAGTTGATTATAATCCTGTCCCCCCACCTCTCAGCCTCCCACTGGCCTTGTGGGATTCTGGTGAGTTTTTCCAGTCGGCTTCTTGCCTGAGCATAAAATGATGGACTGGTTTTGAAGGTACCCCAACCCTGCCACTTAAAAGTTCTTCTACATCCTTGCTTCTTTCTAGAAGTTCTCCGGTAAACCAAAGAACAGTGCTGAAGTCCCAGGGAACCCTGTAGGGACTGTAAGTGTACCCTGTAGAGGCTAGGAGCTGAAGCTGCTACTGAGGCAGACCTTGGGCATCTGACCCATGGGAGAATCGTCTGCCTCTCAGCGTCTCTCAGGCTGACATGTGTAGGTGGTGATCTTCAGGCTTTAGGATCCATCGGGATCACCGAAGTGATGGTTTATTCCAACACATTGCTGGGCCCTGCACCCTAGAATCTCTGCTTCAAGTGGGTCTGGGGCAGCTCTAAGGATTAGCATTTACACAAATTCCCACATCCTGCTGCTGCTGGTCCTAAGACCCCACGTGGAGAACCACTGCTCTGAATCACTCTAAATGACAGGCTCTTTTTTTTTATTAAGATTTTATTTTATTTATTTATTTATTTGAGAAAGAGAACATGAGCAGTGGGAGGGGCAGAGGGAGAAGCAGACTCCCCTTCAGCCAGGAGCCCAACATGGGGCTTGATCACAGGACCCCAGGATCATGAGCCAAAGGCAGACACTTACCACTGAGCCACCCATGTGCCCCTGACAGGCTTTTTTTTCGTGACCCACACCCATGCCCAAATATTGCTACCGTCCCCCCTAGATGAGATGGTGACAATAAGATCAAGCGCCACCTGACTGCTGACTTGTCCATGATGACCAACTTTGCAGTAAATTAGTAGCTAGAATTTAAAAGTTAGCTTGCACCGGCTAAGAATATAGGGTAGGAAAGAGCGGGAGTAATGAAGCCATGTGGTCCAGCTGTGGCTGGTGCAGAGAGGGGGGCGGTGGTGAGCCTAAATGATGGATGGATGCGGGTATTTATTTACCATCTGTCTTGAAGAAACTCCTATTCTCAGGGCGAGGCAGAAACACAAGCCCATACACATTTTTCCACAGTGAGGGATAGTTGCCGTAAATAAATTATCATGAGGCCAGAGAAAGCGACAGCTTTCTGGTGTCTTCTCAAAGCTGGAGGATTGCTGTCTTAATGCTAAATTTTTGCCTGGTCCTTCACACCTCTCCTGGAATTATTCCAGGTTTGATGTACTTGGTCTTTGTCTGATGTTTGATATGCTGCCCTTTGAGTTACCGAAGAACAGGGAGCCCACTGCGGCTGGTTCACTAGTGAGAGGGACAGCCGCCTGTTGTCCAGGGTAGGGCTGTGCACGACAGGAGCCGTAGTGGGACCAGGGGCGTGGAGCACCCTGCCAGCCGTGGCAGCAGCAGCTCTCAGACACAACTGCATCTCAATCTGATTCCTAGCGGGAGAGAGAGTGGGTAGGTGTCCCAGGTGCACTGATTAAAGGGTATCAAAACAAGGGAGGACTCTGAGGAAGCTTCCACATTCTTCTGTGATGA